GGGGGGGCGACGAGACAAAAAAAAAAACGAAAAAGGCCACACACACACACACACACACAAGAGGAAAAAGCTCCACTCCTTTGCGTTCAGTCAAACGTTCGAATTCAAAATAGATGAATTAATGAGTGGCTCGCTCATCTTCTTCCGCGCTGCGATCCTGTCCTTATCGCCGGATCCATTCCGCCGAAAGCGGCCCCCATGAAGCAGCATACGGGACCCCCTCCATTTTAATGTCGTTCCTTAACATCGATTTAAAACAATCAAAAACCATTCTCGTTGACTCGCTTCGACCAACCGTGTCGTTACGGCTGTCGATATTTTGAACCGCGACTTCAACAGGTCATCCCGGGACACAGACGAACGAGTCCAACGGCATGGCGAGACAAGCGGCGGGGAAGAAAAGTACATGGGGTGCCCGGTCGAAGCAGAGTCGAAAAACCTCACATTGAACGATTCAAACACTTTTGTTAGTATTGTGTATTATGACACGTTACACAGCTTTCATGGAAACGGATTGTCTCTTTTTTGTGGCAATTTTATAGGAAGAGTGATGGACTCGTGGAGGCACTCACCGCCAGGACAGAGGCGGGGGCGTCAGGGGGGTTTGTGGGCTAGCCCGCTGCGATGAGTTGGTCGGTGCTATAAAGTTTCTCCACTTTCCCTTCGCCCATCCCCCACCGTACACGGCAGCTCGCTCAACCTCACCTTTCGCCGTGTAAAACAATTCAAAACAATTGTTTGTTATTCAACCCCACCCTCCACTTTTTGAGCAATTCAAAACAATTGTTTGTTATTCAACCCCCCCCTCCACTTTTTGAGGGTCATCATCCCCCCCCCCCCCCAAAAAAAAAACCTAAGATCACCAGGAAAAAAGGAAGTTCCACTGGGCATCACACCGCAGCCCAACTGACACTCTCTCCGCGCGTGTGCGTTGCTGCTGGGCGGCGTGCAACAACTCACTCACCTCTTCGGCCGCTGGAACTCGTTCGCGGTGGAGCAACAGCGGCGGCGCCCGAGAAGCTTGCTAATGGTGACGGTGGTGGTGGTGTGTCCCTCCGCCGCGACGTAGGCAGCCATTCATTACTGAGACTCGACGCTGCAGCATCATGAAGGAATGCACGTACACACACGTGCTTGACGGAAAGGAAGAAGGGAGGGGGGTCTAGTACTCTATGGGCAAAGCGGGGTTTTCTGCCTCGTAGGTTGCAGACAGGCTGCAGAACCATCGATTAGACACACCGAAAGGGATTTGGAATTGCCTGACGTGCATGGCCAAGTGGAACAATCGATTTGTCAGGTGTTGCCTTCAGGGACGATTTGAAATTACACTTTTACGCCCCTCAAATCCACGCTCTGAAATCAAAGTTCTCCCCTCATAAGTAATTGATTGTTCCGAATCTCCCTAAAAGTGCAGTTTTGTGCAGGGGTTCTTAAAGGGACCAGCTCACTCCCCAACTCAGTTTTTTAAATGAGGAAAATTATGTTTGTTTGACATTCAATTTTATGAATTTCTTTTGGTGAAATCAGTAATCAAATCAGTTGTTGTTCCGAATATTCGTTGACGTGATCATCTTTGAATTTAATCATTTTTCCCATTATTTCCCGCTTTCTTCGACTCCAATGCAATTGAGTTTTATTCCAGCTACTTACAGTCTGGGTTCAGATGTTTACCATCCTGAACTTTTCCCAAGATGAAATGAGATTATTCATGGCAACAGGTTGATGAGTTTTCCAGACATTCGCAGTGAAAGTAGGCCGGGTTGAGCAGGAGAAGGACGTCCTCACGTTACGCCGTTACACCGCTTCGCTTTTTTTCCCGAGGCCACGCGAGCTTCCGTAGGCCGGCCCACTAACATGGCGGTGTCCGTGTGCTAACGTGAGAGTGACGGCTTCTTCTGATGAGAGGAGGCAACCCCCCGCCCCCCCAAAAAACACAATCAATCCGGACGGAGTTCCGAGTAACACGAACCTGTCACCGTGAGGAGACACACGTATTCCGGTGAGATTTATTCGGCGACGGCAACCAGTTAATGTGGCGGGGCATTTTGTGGGCATGACGATAACATGTTGACGAATTCGCTCGATGCCAAGAAACACGTGAAAAGCGGTCCAAATGCGACGTTTGGGAGGAACCACATCTCTCCCAAATCTCACTAATTCGACATTTTGCTGGTTTTAGAAATGCCGCGCGGTATGTTAAACCGGACACAATGTTTACAAAGTGTATTGTGCTCTTGTCAGGATACTTTTCACATTCAGGATTTTTTGGGGGTGTAAGCACTGTTTCGTCTCGACTATGTAAATGTGCCCATGTCTTCAGATATGTTAGATAGTGTCAAATTTTGGTTTGAAATGTCACCTCATAGAGCCCGATTGTTTCCTGCGTATTTGAACTCTCAATGTGAAACGTAACCCTCATCCTGAAAATGTTCATCAGGTCAAAACCTACGACAGACCATGGTGCCAAAATAATTGACCGGTAATATCCTAAAAAATGAATGGTTTACAGATGATTTGATTTGGAAAACAAAATGCACTCGAAGTGGGAGGAGACTTTGTCACAACAAAAATTGACAAAAAAGTTACTTGTATTAGTGAGGCGTCTAAATGAAGACATCGTGCTAACTTGCAACATTCAACTTTTTACAAAATCATGGAAAAGATAGTGAGACCTTGTAACATGAAAAAAGCTAAAACTACATGACATTTTCATGACAAATATTTAAAATGACAAGTACGATGTGCTGTCTTTCAACAACGTTTTCTTGTCACCCACTGAATTGGGCCATGCAAAAAAAAAATTAATGAGATGACATGGTGGGCAAATTGAAAACATGCAGCAGGCAACAAGTAGCCCCACAGCCAGACTTTGGATACTGCGACAGTCAATCAAGTTTGTCTGCATTCAGTGTACCTTTCTTGTAGTGTTTGATGTGTCCCGTCACTTGCCCAGGTGTTGTAACTTTATGCTGGTGCGGCCCGCTCGGCTGTTCCTGCGCAACTTCACCCACCTTTGCCTGCACCTGCCCACCGCAGCGCGTCGGTGGTGCGTGGGTTGTGTGATGGAACCCCCAAAAACAGCTAATCCCGACCCTGCGGTTAGCGTCGCCAAGCCAGCGATGGTCAAGAGCCTGGAGGAGTCACCTCTTATCGGGCTTCTACCGGGAGAGACGGTGGTGAAGGAGGGAAAGGCCTCCATCTTGTTTCCCTGTGCCAACGAGGTGTTTTACAACCCGGTCCAGGAGTTTAATAGAGATTTAACGTAAGTATAAGTAGTATTTTTACAAACAACAAAAGACAATTTAGTCGCCCTTAAAACTAAGACGTGTTTTTGCAAAAGTCAATAAGAATTTCGAGCAGGGGTTACAAAATCAACGTGTGTTTGGGCCACTTTCCAACGGTTAGTTTTGGTGTGTATGGGGTGTTCACAAAAAATGCGTTCAACTCATCCAATCTTGTAACTATTCATCATCGAGGAAAAAAAATGCACGACATTGGTAAAACTAAAAGGGAGGCAAGGGAGGTGGCATAAAAGTCACAGAAAACGTTGGCATCAAGTAGGGGGCCGCAAAATATCCTTCTGCGGGCCGCAAATGGCCCCAGGACCGCAAGTCCTTGACCCAAAATTTAGAGTCTTTGATAACTCTTTGTGAACGTCAAAGAATTTAGTCTTTCAGGAACAGTTCATTGTTGTGACCTGTCCAGTTGTGCGGTGATCACGGAGTTCTCCAGAGAAGTGCTGGCTCAGCGCGGCGTTAAGATCCTGGTGCCCGGTGAGAAGGAGCGAGTTGTGGTGTCGCTGTCGGATGAACCCAGCGAGGCTGACCCGCAGGAGGGGAACGCCAACGTCGAGGGGGACACTGTTGTCACGGCGACGGCAGGGCAGAAATGCATGGTAAAATTCTGGTCAGCCCTCTTTTGGGATCCGCCGCAAATAGTCAAATGTTTGTCATTCCTGCTCTTAATTGTTAACTGCCCAAATTATCTGGCAGGACTCTTGTCATGCGAGCTTAACCTAAAGTTGCTCGTGTAATGCAGACCCGACCGACCAGTCTCGGTTTTTGCCACGATCATGTGGAACTTGCTTGAAACTTGAACGTTCAGACTTGATTCAGTCCCACCACAGGTTTTGAATGTGTTTGTGTTTTCTGCCATTTTGTGTTTCCAGCACGGGCTCCGCATCCTGGAAGGCTTAGCGGCGTCGGGTCTGCGCTCGGTGCGTTTTGCGTTGGAAGTGCCGGGCCTTCGGAGCGTCACCGCCAACGACTTCTCCTACAAAGCCGCCGCCCTCATCGCCAGGAATGCTGAGTACAACAAGGTGGGCGAGATCCTCCAGGCCACCTGTAAGGACGCCAGGTAGGACCGCCTGTTACGTGCTCGGCCATTTTGTCGGTCATTTCTCAGGAACGACATGAGATTTATCGTTTTCCCGAGGGGAAAAAAAATTATGCTCACATTTTATGTGGGGGGGGGGGGTAGTTTTGTCACCGGTTTTGCCCGGGTCATTAAAAAGTTTGACAAGTCATTCAATTGATTTTGCGAAGAATTAAGGCCTTAAATGACATTAAAAAGCTTTGAATAGGCACAAGCCCCCAAGTTCCTTCATTCATTCATTTTCCGAACCGCTTGCTCCTCACTGTGGTCGCAGGGAGTGCCGGAGCCTTTCCCAGCCGTCTTCGGGCAATAGGCGGGGGACACCTTGAATCGGTTGCCAGCCAATCGCAGGGCACACAGAAACGCACAATCATTCGTGCCCACACTCACACCTAGGGACATTCATTTTGAGTGATCAATCAGCATGCCAAGCATGTTTTTGGAATATGGGAGGAAACCGGAGGACCCGGAGAAAATCCACGCAGGCACGGGGAGAACGTGCAAACTCCACACAGGGAGGCCGCAGCTGGAATTGAACCCGGTATCTCTGCACTGTGAAGTCGATGTGCTAACCACTCGACTACCGGGCCGCCCAAGTTCCTTCATGTTCCAATTCATTTTCTCTTCATTTGAAAAGAAACATTTGCAGTTCCTGTCACCGATTTTCTCATTCATATGCAGCATGCTTATGTACGAGATGCGAGGGAAGAACGATCGCTACGACGTCATCGATCTCGATCCTTACGGCAGCCCAGCTTCATTCCTGGACGCCGCCGTGCAGTCTGTCAGCGACGGAGGTGTGTGTGTGTGTGTGTGGGGGGGG